TACTACTATCAGATGTCATGAAGTTTTGGTGTTGCTGAAGATTTTCAAATATTGAAGATAAGAAAATCTGAAAATATATTAAATCCATCGAAGTATATTCAGAAAATAAAAATCATAAATGCTAGGTTGAACAATATTTATATTTAGTATAACGATTATATTTATAATTACTTTTATATGTTTATAAGCCAAAATAATAAATAATCCAAAAAGAGTTCTTTGAATGGCAAAAATAGTTTGATTTTGATGCAAAAATTTGAATATTAAGTTTGTGTGCACGTGGTGAGAAAGATCATTCTGGTTTTGGTAAAAATCACCGAGGGGATATACATATGGAGTTTCATCGATTGATAATGAATCGCAAAAAATTTCATGTACATGTAGTAATTATGACACTTGCCGAACAGGGTAGGTTTCACCTTAGGTAAACCAGGGCTAAATAAATAAAAAATTACAATTTCTCCCAAAGGCAATATTTTTGACCATATTTTTAAACTAAGTTTGCTAACCAATCGGAGAATAACAAAGTCACGTGAAAATTTTGGTTAAATCATTTTTAGATCGCATTACCGACTCGAAAATTTTTATGTATTAAGAAACTATATTATATTATTATACATGTATATAGTGTTTATTAATTTATCACTAATAATTAATTCAGAAAATAATATTATAAAAGCTAAATTTTCTTTAAAAAAAAAGATCATATATATTTATAAAATCAAGACAATTTCTCTTATATGTTAATAATATATTAATAATATTACTAAAAAGATATTTAATTTTTGTTTGTTTTGCAATAAAGATAATATTGTCTTGTAATTATTTCATTATTTATAAGAATCGTTTATTATGTATAATGAATGAATTAAGAGAATTGAGCTTACAGGTAATTTTAATTAAAATAAAAGTTTACTGTTTTTTATACTCATTTTTTTTATTTTAGATTCATTCACACCCAGAAACTGCATTGACCGAACATTTCGCACACAAAATCCTCACCGAATATCTAGAGACAAAAGGTTTTCTAGTGACTCAACATGCATATGGTTTAAAAACAGCATTTCGCGCGGAATTTGAAAACAAGCTGGACGATGGCAGCGCAAATGATAAAGTACGGACTGTGTCGTTTAATTCGGAGTATGTTATTAATGCCTGAAATACGAGAGAAATATTATGTTGTCTCGATTGAGATTAAAGTTAACAATCATCTTTTAGATATGACGCGTTGCCTGGTATTGGACATGCATGCGGGCATAATCTTATCGCTATTTCGGGTGTTGCTGCTGCATACGGTTTATGTCATAATTACGAATTTTTTCGTTGAAGTATTTCATTGACTAAAATGGCATATGTTTATAATAAATTTAAGGTGTCAAACAAGCATTAAAATTATTGAATATTCCAGGAAAAGTGGTATTGTACGGGACGCCTGCAGAAGGTAAAAGAAAATAAGGAATGCGTCAACGAGACTAAATAGGTTTAACGTAAAGATATATATATATATATTTTTTAAAGAAACCGTCGTTGGAAAAATCATGTTAATTGAAGCCGGCGCTTACGACGATGTTGATATATGCATAATGATTCATCCTTCGTAAGTGAGTCTGCTTTCGTTAAAAAGAAAACTTTAAATTTATTTCCTTCGTGAAATAGCGACGAAGATAATGTCGGAGCGGCATTTCTGGCGCTGGTTGATGTTGACATCGAATATTTTGGACAACCATCTCATGCTTCTGGTATTTTGCCTATAATTTGTTGATAGTTTATTTCAAAAATAATTTCAAAATATTTATGATAATTTCGTTTTCTATTTTTGGACTTTAAAAAGCGGCGCCTTGGAATGGTTTGTTCGTTTTTCTTTTAGTTCAAAATTGCGGAATTTGAATATTTGTAACTTGGCTAATTGCTTCGTGATTCTTTAAATTCAGGAAAAAACGCTCTCGATGCCGCAATTTTGGCGTATAATTCTATCTCACTGTTACGGCAACAAATACTTCCAACAGAAAGGCAAGTTTCAGATATTTGCAGCGTTTGTTTATCATTTGATCAATTTCTCAATTATTATTCAATCAAAATAGAATTCATGGAATCATTACCGAAGGAGGTCAAGCTGTAAACGGTAACTATAATCAATTCTTTGCGCATATGCAGAATTTGAAATAAGATTTGGTTAATATTCTCATATCAAACCAAAAAAGTTATACCCGACCACACTGCACTGAAATTCCGAATCCGTTCACCAAAACGAGAACAGCTCGCCAAACTACGGCAAAAAATTGAAGTTTGCTTCATTGCTGCTGCCGCTTCTACGGGATGTAAATATAAAATTACGTGGGGTCATGAGGTTAATGGTATATTATTTATTATGTGCCCTCTTAGAAAACTTGTTTTTAATGTTTAGTTTTATCTTACGTACACGTAAAAATTACCTCATACTCTTATTTCTTTTTATGTTAGATGTTTTGACGAACCTCCACCTGGGATATAGATTCGCAAAGCATATGAATGACTATGGTGTTAAATTTCCGCATGATCCTTTGTCTTTTGCTGGATCTACCGATATGGTAATAAGCGAACTTACACAAGTATTTAATAACGAAAATTTTAACTATATTTTTTACTTGTTCATTGTTGCAGGGAAACGTGAGTTATAAAGTACCTGGCATTCACTCACGGTAATTGCATTTTTCTTTGCCAAGATAAAACAGCCCTTAAAGTTTGCAATAATTACATTATTTTAACAAAAAACAGAATAAGCCTTGGCACAAAAAACAAAATTCACACTCCAGAGTTCGAAAAAGACGCAAAAACAATCGAAGCACACACACGAATTATACGTGCTTCAAAATGTTTGGCATTGACGGCATTAGATGTTATCACAGACGAACAGTTTTATAAGGATGTGTATGATGAGTTTGTTAAAGTCAAACCCAAGCTCTAAAAATATGGTTTTATGTATTCAGCTGGTTATTCTATTATCATAGTTTTAATATTTCAAATTATTATCTCGAACATAATTTCTTTCTACATGTTTTTTGGCAACTACACGTACATGTGCTGTGCGCATTATCGACGTTGACAATTTTACATATACATGTAATTTTTATCTCCAGCTCTAATGCCGACCTGACCTTAAGGGAAGTGACATATATTATCATATTGTAAGAGGGAGAGGATCTGACAAAATAATACATGTAAAATATCTCACGTAGGGAGATTTTCTATAGTAAAACGAATATGAGGTAACCGAGTGCAATAGAAACGGTGTAGATTGCATTAAATTTTCTAATGCAGTCTACACCGTTTTTATTGCACTGTCCATAACATATGCCCTAACTTTAAATTTTTAACATTAACATACATGTACATAATATTAATAAATTTTATATTGAATGAAATTTAAAAATTTTTCGCTATTGAAATTTTAATTAGTCTCAACGCCATTGTAAAGAGCGTGATGGTTATAGTGTAAATAAAAAACAACCGAATTAACCGTATGTTCTCAAAAGATGGTTTATAATAAATAGTACTATGAAGAGTAAGATAACCAGCACTAACATTTCAGAGAGCATTAAATTGTCCGTATTGGCCTCATCTAACACTATGAGAAGGCAATGCACGTAGCTTTACGAATTGATCAGGTCTTATGACATCAGCATTGCCGTTTCAGATAACGTTGCTCTAGCTGAAGAAGATGAGGTCACGAAAAGTCTAACTCTGGAATTGCGAAAAAATATGATAATTTGAATTCATGTGAGGATATACACACAATAGAATATTTGAAATTCATCATATATTGGATGATATCCGAAACTGCCTTTAATAAAATTCACTGATATAGTAGTTTTACTAATAAGTAATAGATTTTACTAATAGAATTGTTTTGATATGTTATAAAGAGAAGTTCAGAGAAGTCTTTTTTAAATCATTTTTTTGTTTTGTAATGGTGTAATTTGATGCATTTCATAACAATAATAATACACGTAATACGTATAAAAATCATTTCATTTTCATCAGTAAATTCATATCGGTCAACTATGACGATGTCTCAAATATGACACTCATTTCATGTAAGTGTATTATTTTCTATGGCTCTCATTTCTTTCTTATACAGTCACAATATAATCATAAGATTTATCACTCCTCTTTATTTATTCTAGCCTGGAATTAAACATTTTCTACTTCGGACAGTTCTTTCCATTGCATATAATCCAGCACTTATCATTACAAATTAAAATATTGTATTTTGTCACGTAAGCTGTTTCAACGTTGCTCTTAGATCGAAGTATAATTAACACATTTTGAATGTTTACTCTGATTCTCAGTTTTCCTGCAGATCCGTAACCTGCGACATGGACTATAAGCTTGATAAATTCTTCACTGTTTTCCATCAATGACACAGCCAAAACTCTTCACCTTCGTTTTTCACTTGCATATAATCCAGAACTTATCATTACAAATTAAAATGAAGCAACGCAAGCTAAACTCTGTTCTTGCTTTCCTAGGATCTGATTGTTTAAGATTTAATATAATGACTATTATTTAGTTTAAAGTGATGAATCAACTGATTCAAGCATACAAATTTTTTTTGCCACAACACAGTATACAGTGTGTGACAAAAAAACTTGACTATACTAAATTCATCATAAATTCATGAATATTGCATCAAATTTACTGATTAATATATCATTTTAAAGCAAAAAAGTTATAGAATAAAATTTATTATACTTAAAAATTGAT